GGGAAAGAGAAGGCGAGGCTGAAAGGGCAGGAGTGGCAGTCGCTGATGGCAAGGGGGAATTAGCCAAAATGTTAAAGGAAAACATACATTCTGTTCAGACCTCGCTAAGTAGATGCAGTATTTGCTACCCTCTTGGGTAGCCGCTGGCTTTAAAATAGCACATTCGCACCCCAGAGAGTCATTTCAAGTTACTTCAGGGCATTTCGAACAAAAAATCTGTTTAAAGTCCTCTTTTCCCCTGCTCCACATTTTTCTTCTTTCTTTGCTTAAGGGTCAGTTTCCATTTTATGAATAATCCTTCTTTGGCTTGACTTGAGCTCTATTTTTTTCCCCCCTTATATTTACGAACTCCATGGGTGCAGAAACCAAGAGTTAATACAGTCTTTTCCCTCAATCAGAATTTAAATGTTCTTAGGGAGGGATGAAAGCCCCAAGCAGCGTCCACCATCAGCATAGGTCCACCAGTGACAGAACTAATTCCTATCTATCTTATTCAAGGATAAGTAGCTGCTTCTACATCTCTAAAGCTAACATTTCCATTCAACAATCATCCCACCTTTTACCACTGTGTTGCTAAGCCCAGCTCTACAAGTTTTTTTTTATACAGGCAGCTGAAGCCAGTCCGTACCGTTTTGACTCGGTAGCTGTCCTGATCCCCAAATCAAAGCCCAATACTCTTTCTGATCTGCAGGCAGCTAGCTTAACGCTGTCTACGACCTTACTCATAACCACTAAGCTCAGGTGGAATCGGCAGGAATGTGTGGCAGTCTGCTTCCCAAGGAGAAATGCTGCCAGGTGACTGCACTCAGAGCTAGCAGGCACTTACTGTAGGGGAAGTAACGGACGCGCATGGTGATTTCACGGGCTGTCTTCAGGATCTCCACAGCCTGAAAGCACAAAGAGTTGCTCAGTGACCAGAGTGGGCTGGAGGACAGGAAAGAGGAATGTGTCGGTTCTGTGGTGCCACCAGCTGAGTTGGTGCAGGCTGAGAGGCCAGAAGGCGATGGCGTATGCACAGATCCCCACCCTGTCCCTGCCCCAGCAGCGCTCACCTTGCTGTGCTCAATGTCCTGGAAATCCACATCGTTCACAGAGAGCACCTGGTCCCCTTCCTGCAGCCCAGCTCTGTGCGCGTCCGAGTCAGGGATCACCTGCGGAGGGAAGAGCAGAGACAGCAGCAGTGACTCTCCGCACGGCCGGTGCCGTGGCTCCCCTCCCGTGCAGCCGAGACAGCCCAGCCCCAGAATCTCCCCACTGTGCCCATCCAGGGCGCTCACACAGGACTGGGGAGGATGGGGAGCAGGGACTGGGGTGCAGCAGCAACACTCCGTGGGCTGGGGAGAGATTGAGAAATGGCACAGGGCTGTCTGATCGCTGCTTGGTGCGTGGCAAATTACAGCTGTGAGCTGGGAGATGCGTATAAGGTGTACGACAGTCTCCCTGCACACCCAGCTGGCTCAGCAACACCCAAGGGAACAGACAGAACACAGGGAGGGAAGGGCAGAAGGACAGACACACCTTAGAGATGAAGATCCCCAGCTGCGAGGCTTTTCCTCCCCGGATGTTGAAACCCAGCTGTGAGAGAAACCAGCAGTGAAACGCAGTCACCCCCTTCGGCCCAGGACCCTTCCCACTGGATACGCGTCTCTTCCGGATGAAGCAAAGGTCCTGGCG